GTGCACGCGTCCGCTGCGATTGCGCCGATGAGGTCCGTGCGCAGCGCAGCGTCACTCACCACGGCCGGGGTCAGGTGGAAGTAAGTTTTGCATACGTACGATCTGAATAGACATCCAGCAGCTAGGGCTCCAGCAAAGGGCACATGCAGCAGCTGACCATCACCATCTCAGTCGACAATCTGAATCGTGATTGAAACTGTGTGAACGGTGCTCCTGACCAGCCTGTTCGATCTCGGCCAGCCAGCAATTTCAAAAGCCGACGTGAAGGGAGCGCGCGCTACCTCTGAGCGCCTGCAGGTCACATCATCTGGCAGCCTCTTCTTCCGGCAGACTCACTCACCGGACACACTCGTGCCTCCACGCGTCTGCCTGGCCAACCTCGAGACGAAGATGATGTCCAACCAAGCCCAATCGATTGCTTCAACTTCCTACGCTGGCGCAAGCTCTACACCCACCTCTTCGAGATCACGCTCCTTCATCGTACCCATGCCATCCAGCGCTCACGCCTCCGCCTCCAACACCAACGGCACCGACTTGCGTGACATTTCTTCCAGACGCGCTCCACGGAAAAAGCTTTCGAGACCTGCTGAATTGGTTCTGAGCGCAACTTACAGAATAGCAGTCCTACCTCGACGAACGATCAGATCATTGACTCGAGCACCTCAGACTGTGCAATTTCTCCGGCTCTTCGCTCTGGCCCTTGTGCTCTGGGCGGAAAGATTGACCTGGGAGCGCTGGCGTCTCATTTCCCAATCATCTTCTTCGACCAGCAGCAATCCTGCGCGCAAAACAATGAGCAGACCGCTAAGGTTGCTGCTGGTTGCGGATCCTCAGCTGGTGGATGAGCACACTTATGAAGATGTGCCAAAGAGATTGGGACCGGTGGTCAGGTGGGCTGCAGACACTTTCGTGAGGAGAGCTTTCAAGGGAGCCAAAAGGAGTTGCGATGGGGTGGTCTGGCTAGGCGATCTGTTCGATGGGGGCAGAAGGGAAATGTCGGACGAGAGGTGAGTGGGAATCGCTGTTGCCACTCTGGAGGCGCATGTGTGCGCGTAGGCTGTCCTTGTGGCTGACACTCAGAACGCCCGCCACTTCAATTTGAAGCTGGAAAAATTTCCGGAAGCGCTTCGATAGGCTCTTTACTCCGCGTGCCCCTTCGATCTACATTCCGGGTAACCATGATCTAGGTCTTGGTCCATCGCCGTCCATTCCAGTGGATGCACAAGCTCGTCAGCGGTACATTGCCTCATTCGGCACGAGAGTGAAGAATGGACTCGGGGCATTCTCCAATCTAAAGCTGGGAAAGTGGAGCAGGGCCGCTCGACCAGCTCTTGGCCTAGCCAAGGCGTTGCCAAAGAAGCCGCGGGAAGAACAATTTGAGTTGGTAGATAATGAAGGGCTGAGGAAAATCAACGTCATAGTGCCTATTTGGGCTGGTGGGAGACTTGACAAGGCGCACAAATCGACCACCGATGGTACTGGGGACAGCGCTACTCTTCCTCCGACGCACGAAATCATATTGCTGGACGCTTTAGCTTTGGCTCGGATGCGTGCCCCGTCAGAAGCGAGTGGTGACGATGCGGGCGTCGAAGGGGCACATGAAGTGAAGGATCTTTTGAACAAGCTTGCAAAAAGTAAAGATCGTAAGTCTCTAAGAGGTACCCGTATGCTCTCAGATGCCTGGTATGATCTCACTAAGTGCCTGGGTCATCAATATCACTCAATAGATCCGCCCCGCATCCTCATAACACACATTCCGCTCTACAGACCGGCGGGCACACCTTGCAATTTGGCGGGGGCCACGCATGGTGTGGAGCGAGAAGCAAGGTCCAACATTCGCGAGGGTGAAGATGCAGGTCACACGTACAAGAATGAGATAGGTCAAGCTGTCAGTCGATGGGTGCTCGAGTCCGTTCGGCCTAGCGTGGTGTTTAGGTAAGAGATGATCGCGTTGTGCTTTGGTGTGAAAATGCAAGTCACATTCACACGCCCAAACCCTGCGCTGTAGCGGCGACGACCACGACCATTGCGAGATGTTACACGACGTGCCAGAGGTGCAATCTAGCTCGCAGAGCAACTCTGCATGGCGCTCCAAAATTCGCAACCTTCCGTGGTTGCCACCCAACAAAGTACCTGAGTTGACTCTCAAGGGCTTTGCTATGACGGATGGCATCCGTCATCCAGGCTATGCCTTGCTGCATCTCTACCCTCCCCCTGTCACGACCACCACAGACGAGCAAGGCGCGTCTAGACAGCCTACATCAGAGGCTGCGGGTATCCATTATGCGCCCTACTTGCTGCCTGACCAGATCCTTATTTGGACTCATGTTTATGCTGGACTAGCTGTCGCAGTGATTTGCTGTTTGGCCCTCCTGAGGCGGATGGGATGGAGAGACAAGCTCTTCGTCTCCTTTGCGGATTCCCAGGTAACATTTTTTAAGCTGGGCAAAGCATCAGGACGAACAAAACGCCCCTCTTGGCTTCCTTTGTACTCCAGTGCACATGCTCCTCCGACCGACGCAGCCAGCGCAGCTGACAGAGACGATTGGGAAATGGTAGATCTGGAAGTCGACTCTGCGCAAAATTCATCCAGAACAGCACGAGGCAATTCGTCCGATGAGGACTCGGACGATCCCCTGGATTTGGGCACTTTGAGCCCTACCAAGATCCAATATGGAGCTGGAGCAGTTCCCAGGAATAAAAAGAAGAGAAAGCATGCAGCAACTTCTCTGTTTGCGGATTTTGGCGCTGTAGCTTTTCCTCCGCTGGCTCTTTGGGTGGTCTTGCAGCTTTGGTACTAAGTTCACCACTTCACATGACTCAGACGGTGATTGCGAGTGCTTGCGAGTGCTTCAAAGCGCCCACTTTGTTACTTCTTGGACTTTAGGATGAAGTGCAATGCTGCAACGATTCGCATCACCTCAACTTACATTGCATCGGCTTCCTCACGACGGTGACACCGTGTCGGATTGTTTGCTTTCATTGCGAAGAGTACAGCGTATGGATGGTGAATCACAACAAGGGGCGCTACGGAGTCTGGCTCTGATGCATGTCCTTTCGCGCATCACTCATCGATGGGCTCTAGCAGCGGTGCAAAGCTGCACAGCCCTCTCGAGTTCTTCCTTGTCCAGAGCAAGTCTCAGCGTAGTAGCAGACGCAAAGGTGCTGATACCCTGCACCACCTGCGTCGCAGCCACGCCCGATTGCGACTGCGATCCCGTATTGTCCATTTGCGTGTCGGAGCCTACGGCCCGCAACAAGCCGTGCGACGTGAATTCGTGCACCACCAAGGCCAAGGATCCCGGATTGGTAGCTATAAAATTGCGAGCTGCCAATGTTCCCAATTCGCTGTACGTCGTGCTTCCCGGCGCAGCAGCAGGCGTGTCCGAGCGCAACTTTTGCAATTGTAGATTGGCCAGCTTGAGAAAGAGGGACTGAGCATTGTTCGTTACGCTCTTGAAGATGTGAAGAGCTTGCTTTGCGCTCAGATCTGATTGAACTTCGCTTGCGTGCGCAGTGCCCGAGGTAATCCCAAGCGACGCTGAGGGTGCTGCCGATCCTACGGCTCTTTGAGCGCTGTTGCTAGACGCGGAACCGTACAAAGCCCGTGGTAGTCCGGCTGAGTGAGCTACGCGCGCCGATGGCTCTCGAGCAATGAAGGTGTGCAGCGCATGCAACACCCACCTTGGGCTCGAAGGATGCAGATTTAGCAAGGAGGCTGCGCGAACGTGCGCTGTGCTCCCCATCAGCCAAATCAGCTTGCTCCTGCAAAGGATGCCTAGCGCTCGTTGTGCTCGCGCAACGAGTAGCGGAGCGCTGGACACATTGTGAATCAGCAGCAGCAAAGGCGGACACTCGAGATCATCGACTGCTTCCGGAATGGGTTCAACATCCTGCCAATCATCAAGCCAGCAGTCATGGTCGTCGTCGTCCTCGTCCTCTTGAAGAGGATCGCCATCTTTTGCCCGTCGTCTTCCTCTACGCAAGTGTTTGGAAACAAGAGCAGCTCTCCTCTCAATTGGCGTCGCAAACACGTCGTCTTCTTCCCTTCTTCTACCAGTCTTGTCCATGCCCAACGCCAATTCAACAGCGTCTAGAATTTCTTCGGGTCGTTTCACATGATCGCCCCTCACGATGACGCTGTTTGCATACCCCTCCTCGGCCATCCGACTGGCAAAGCTGTCCAGAACTTGTTTCATTTCTCCCACACCGTGAAACAAGATTGGAAAGCCATCCTGCAGCATGTACCTCCACGAGTTGTGAGAGCGTTGAAGAGTGGAGAGGTCGGTATGAGTGGTGGAGACTTGGGACAGATCGGCAAGGGAAGATAGCCGCAGGGGACCCAAGCGAGCAGATAAAAGAGCAGAAGAGGTTTGATCCTTTGCTTTTCTGGATCGAGTGCTCGCGTGCGCTGCAAAGTACGCATCCGAAGAAGTGGGCACCACGAGTGAGGCCGATGCCGAAGCGTCGTCCTGTGATTCCCCCTTGCGTCCATCATGCTTCTCGGATCTGCCTGTGAGACCGCTCGGTGTGCTGGGAGTGGGTCGGGCTCTTGATACGCTCGAATGGCTAGGGGTGATGCGCTTGCGTTTTGACGCTGAGCCAGAGACGGACGATGAGGCCCGTCTTCTGGGGGTGGAAGACTGCGATGTTGAAGAGCTTGCGTTGACCTTAGCATTCTTTGGTGGTCGACCACGCTTGCGTGGCACAACGACCGGTGGAGCTTCCTCTTCGTCCGCGAATGGCGAAGCAACTGAGCGGGAGACAGAGGCAGTTGAACTTGGCCTGCGAGACTTCCGAGGCGTGACATCGATCTGCACTACTGCTCCGGTTCTACCTTTGCCCTTATCGAGAGTGTGGCTTGAAGCATCAAAATTCCTTTCGGCGTCGCTATTCCGACTGGCCAATTCGCTCTCCTCCGAGTCGTCACGCTCATATGCTGCCCCTCCAGTCTTTGGGACCGACACCTTGCCAGCCCGCTCTCCAACAGAAGCATCTGCTGATGCATCCGCATTCTTTCTTGGTCGCCCGACTTTACGTTTGGGGCCTGCAGACATTGACGTCCCAGCGCGTTTGCGTGGTTCAACCTCTACTAGCAGCCTGGGAGCTCTATCAGGAGCCCTGCCTTCCCACGCCAGGTGAGCTTTGGACGAAGCAGTGCGCCTCGGTCTAGATGATGAAGATGATGCTTCGTTACAACCCTCTTCAGTGCCTGCCGATCCTTCATTCAATGTCTCCTTGTCCTTGCCTGTGTTCTTCGAGGCTGGCAAGCCATTCGCCTCGTGCATCCTTCGTTCCGTTCCTGGGCTGACCACGCCATTGACGGCACCTGCAGCAGATCCGAGCATTTTGTCCCCACCGAGATCGTCATCATCCACACTGGCGCTAGAGCTGCTACCGCCACCATCCGTACTGCTTCTTAGCTCCAACTCGGATTCTGAAGAATCGTCTGCGTCCAGGCTCACACCTCGTCGCGAGCCGCTTTCAATGTCGTGTGCTGCGATCCTTGTCGGCGTGCGAGACGAGCTTGAAGCAAAGTGCGAAGAGGGATGGTCAGGCGTGTGCAAGGTCATGCTCGTGTCGAAGGAGTTTGCGACCTGGGAGCCAAAACCGTGTCTGCACGGAGATCGGAGGTGGTGCTGGATGCTGGATGCGGGGCGCCTATCACTGGCTGATCACCACTGGCGACTTGGCAGCCGAGCAGCACAGGTGCCTATGGGAGCACATATGCGTTGCTGAAACATATGCATGCAACGAAAGTGATGGTGTTGAGGCCTAGGGGCGACAACTCGGTCGGAAAGCTAATGACCGTCTTGACTCGTGAGTCCGACGAGTCAATCGTCTTCCAATCAAGAATCGCTTGCTTGGACTTGGAGGGCGGTTGTGGTGCTGCATCACGTGACGCTTCGGTCCTAATGGAGTTAAGTCGAGAGAGAGCTCTCGGCTTTGAATCAAGATGAGTTCATCGACATGTAGATCGATGCAACAGTCTTTTCCAGGCTCAGCATAGATCCAGCCTTGGCAACTTTCTCCATCACCACCACCTTCATCAAAACCAAAATCTTACAACGCCATCCCTTACAGAAGCAGATAGCCAGCCGCAAGGCTACAACAGCCTGTACCATTCGATTGGAGCAGCTCAAGAACGCGCAGCGCACGAGCAAAATCACGAGCTGAGCATCAGTGTGTAGCATTCAGCAATCATTTTTGCTCTGTACAGCAGCTTTCAAGGAGGATCGACATCATCTGAGCTGCCTCAATTGCCGCCTACAGCCTCTGACACTGATTACGAGTCCTATCCTTGAAAGGAGGACCACCAACCGCTACGATCTCATTTCAAGACATCGCGTGCACCACTATCGCATCGCAGACAGTGCGCAGCTGCTAGGCTGGAGCTTCTCGAAGTACACCTTTCGAAGACTCGGACAGCGTGCTTCCAAGGACTCGGTCATCGACTTCTAAGGAAGCTACATTTGTACAACGGCTCCGACATGTCCAAGTGAGTGTCGTGTGCTTCCAAGCGCAGCATTCTTTGCAAGGGTGGGATACCGCCACAAGAGGTAATCAAAATGCTATCCTAGAGCGGGATGAACTGTTAAAGACTGAACTTTGCTCTCCATTCTCTTCATCACGCAGGCATCACCCAGACCTGATCCTCTGCAGGAAATTACCTGGAATAGCAATCGGGCGCTTGTGTGAAAAGTGCGATGGAAAATGGTGAGTACTGCCACCTCACGTGTCAAGAGGCTACTAGACCCACGAGTATCGAGCAAGTAGTGACCATATACACATCTCTTCGCTGCTTAGTCCAATCTGTGACTCCTATGTTCGACCCGCCACCTTGGTTCGGATCTGCGAAGAGTGCAATTTTGGCACGTACGGTGGAAGATGCAT